TTTCTTTTAGGGTAGATCTGCAGGTGACAAATCCTCTTAGTTTTTCTTCATCTGAGAATATCTTTTTTTTTTTTTCTTAATGCCTTTCCTTCTGAAGGATATTCTTGTCAGAAATAGAATTCTGGGAGGAAAGCTCTTAAAAATGTTCTGTCTTTCATAATTTTTGATGAGAAATCTGTGCTACTTTGACTTGTTGTTCCCCTATGTGTAATGTGTCTGTGTTCTGTAGCTTAAAACATATTTTTTCCAATCTTCTTTTCCCTTTATTCTTCAGATTAGATCATTTTTATTAAATTATCTTCAAATTATTGACTCTTTTGTCCCCTTCTTTTTCTATGGAGCCCATAACTGATTTTTAAATTTTCAAATGTAGTATTTTTCAGTTGTAAAATTTCCATTTGTTTCTGTTTTCATAGTTTCTATTTCCTGCTAAGAACATCTACCTTTCATTCACTTCAAATGTGTTTAGCTTAATCTCATGGAACATAGTTATAATAGTGTTTCAAAGTCTTTTTGTGATAATTCTAACACCTGTATCATCTTGAGATTCACATCTGTTGATTTTCTTTCCTCTTGAAAATTGGTCACATATTCCTGGTTCCTTGAATGTCAAAAGACTTTTAGATCATATCCTGGACATTTTAAATATTATGATGTTTAGACTCTTGGCCCTGCTAAAATCCTTTGGAGAATTTTCAGTTGTGTGTGTGTTTTTTTTTAGTAGAGAATCAGCCTAGTTAATTTCAGATTGAAGGTTCTGTCTCTCCTCCAAACTTAGTTCAGTTTTCCAAGCCTTTGCTGCTGCATTGTGTCTATCCTGTGTTTATGGCATTTTGGGGGTTTGTCTGAAACTCGGACAGTGGGTTAAATCTCGCCTCAGTTCTCAGAGTCTGCGTGGCCGACTTCTTTGGGTCTTTCATGCATGTGTGGATCAAAGGAGAGCCCAGGACTTGTGTGAATGTATATACAGAGAAATCTCCTTCTTCTTTTACAGGAATCTCTTTTATGATTTCCCCAGCCAGAAAAAATTAGTTTTCTCTTGGAGTTTTGCTGCCCATGTCATTGCTGTGACATAGCTCCATGACTGGTATCTATACTCGGGGGCAAAGCCACGAGAGAAAAACATGAGGATTCCCCTTCCATATTTTCCAACTCACAGGGACCCTTTTTCCTGCTTCCTCTGGTTAGAAAGACTGGGTTTCTATTGGAGTTTTAGCTGGTCATGCTGATGGTTCACAGCCCAACAACTGAGGCCCAGTCTCAGCTCAAGCCATGTACGCAGAGGGAAAAAAAAAAAAATACACGGGTCACTTCTTCAAGTTTTCTCTTACCACCATAATCTACCTGGTTTTGTTTACTTTTCAGAGTCGTCTGCCAGTTTTTGTTTTGTTTGGTTTTGTTTTAAAAATTTTATCCAGAGTATTTAGTTGTAATCAGTAGGAAAGAGGCTATAAATAGGCTTATGCCATCATGGATGGAATTCGAAGTCAACTAGTTTTTATAGGATCACTTTGGCTGTTTTTTTGAGGACAGACTGAAGGAGGCAAGAGGAGAAGCAGAGAGCCCAGCTGGGAGGCTACTGCAGCAGTCCAGGCAAGAGTCACGGCAGTTTGGGTCTCAGTGATAGTCATGGAGGTGGTGAGAAGCTGTTGGGTTCTAGATATTATTTGAAGGTTAGGCTGACAAGATTTGCTAATGTGAGAGAAATAGAGGGGTTCAAGGTGATTCCAAGGGATTTTTTTTGTTTTTGTTTTTGTTTTGTTTTATTTTGAGCAACCGAATGAAATTACTGTCAATATGGAAGGAAGAACATGGAGGGGGAAGAAGGGAGATGAGTTTGTTTGGGAACATGTTTAGTTTGAGATGCTCATTAGATACACAAATGGCGATGTCAGTGAGCAATCCATTTACACCAGCCCGTAGTTAATGGAAGGTCTGGGCTGGAGATATAAACTCAGGAGTCACTGGCATATGGGTGGCATTTACAGCCACAAGACTGACTGGGTGAGGTCACTTATGGCAGTGGGTGGGATAGAGAGAGAAAAAACCTGATGGCTGGAGCCCAAGGAGTTCCAGTGTTGGCTTGTTCTCCAGCCCAAGAGATTGGAAGCAATGCCATCCAAGTGGCATGTGTCAGTCAGGGTCCAATCAAGGGACGGTACTACACAGTAACTTGAACAGGGGAAGTTTCATGCAGGCCATATTGGAGGTTAGAGTTCTGAGGAACTGGCTAGTAAGAAGTAAAAAGAACTCTAAAGAGTATAGAAATGACAGAGGTAAGGAACAGCCACTACCCTAAGGGCTGTGATGGAGGCCCCAAGGAAAAGCCACAGCTGAGATTTAGATTTCATCAGAGAGGGCACATCCACTGCTCATTGAGTTCCAAGAATTCTCTCTGGTGCTACACCAATGGACCTTGCTGGGAATCTTTCATCCAGAAGTTACTAGAAATCCACACTGTAGAGTGCTGGGGAAAGCTTTTCACAAGGAGGTGTCTTGTTGGAGACACTTTGCTATGAAATTGCCCAAGCAGGGTGCTGGGGGATGCCCATGGCTTCTGGGTGCTGCTGTTGCTGTGCATGGTAGGGTCTGATAGTACTGAAGCCGTCTGTGTTGCAGGAACCTGCACTGGAGAAACTGCAGAGAGCACAATGAAGCAAATTCCCCTACTCCACAGCATCTCCCCAACGTCTATGGAAATGCCTATTGACAAGGCTTAACTTTGTGCCTGCTGGCAAGAGGAAATATTTAAAGGGATCAGATCCATTTGCATAGAGTAGGCAGTAAGGGTGAACTTGGAGCTGAGGAAATAAGTTAATGTGAGTCTGGCCGAGGAGAGGCATCAAGACCAGATGGGGACAGCCTTGACGTTGCTGTCACCTGACTACACATAGTAGATGGGATGGGAAGTCATGAGCCCCTGGAAGCAGGAGGGCAGGTGACTGGTGAGTCCAGGGTCAGGCAGGCCTTCGGCTGTGAGCAGAGCAACGCATAAGTGCTCAGGTTGTTGGCTGAGGTCTGGCCAAGGCAGCATATACAAAGATGGAAGATGTGCTTTCTGCTCTCTAAGGAGGACTCTTGAGGTGAGACAGTAGCGCATAGTCCCTGCTGTGAGATCCGTTTCCTAATGGGGCTCTGCCCAGGGTGCTGGTCATGACTGCATCTTGCCTGATTCCTGCCCCAACGTGTGCTACTTCTCCACTCTATGCTATAGTCATATTCAACCCCAGGCAGGTCTTCAAACTGGGGATGCTCTCTTCGACCTCTTGGCTTTTGCACACACTGTTGCCTCTGCTTGGGACATGTCTTCCTTCTTAGTATGGCTAGCTCATCATTCTTCACATCTCTGCTGGGAGACCACACCCTCCAGGAAGCTTTTAATGATGCTCCAAGTCTGGGCTGGGCCCCTCCTTTGTGCACTGTAACATTGATTCTACTCTTAATACAGCACTTAGCATATTGAGTCACAATCGCCTGTTTGCCTGTCTATTGACCACCGCTATTTCTCCAGCATCAGGCCTAGCATGTAGTAAGAACTTATCAAATGTTTGTTGAATAAATGAATGAATGAATGAATAAAGGATAAGAGGCCAAAAGTCAGATACATGGGAGGTGGAAGGAGGGTGTATGAGCAGATCACTCAGAGTTTATATTCCATGTTAAGAAGTATGAGCTGTTTTGGAAGGCAGTGGGGAGCCACTGAGGGCCATAAGCAAGGGAAAGCCATGATCAGTTTGCCATGTGAGGAAGAGTTCTAGAGCGGCCTCGTGGAGAATGAGTTAGATGAGGACAAGAGTGAGGACAGAATGATCAGGCCCCCCCTCCTCCCCCGCAATGATCTCAGAGGAACTGGGTGTGGAGTGGGAGTCAGGGGGCAAATAGGAGAGTTCGCTTTGCTTAAGAGAAGGGCACTTATGGGGTGTAAGGCAATGCCTGGAGAGAAGTGGGCTGCTTGGCACTTATTTGAAGAAACTTTGCCATATGCCTTCCCTTCCTCGTTGAACTGTGAGCCTCTCCAGGGAAGGGCCTGAGCTCTCTTTCCTCAGCACCTCCCTTGTGCCCAGGACACCGGCCTCCACCCTTGGCAAGTCCCCAGGGTAGGGGGTGCTGGTGGAGTCTAGAAGACAATTTCCCCCATCCCCAGCATGATCCAGAAGGAGAGGCCAGAGTCCTAATGATGTTAGCTTGGCAAGTTTATTGAAAACCTAGGCACACAAAGAGCAATACAAACAGGCACTTCACCGCACCCCATCCCAGGCCTCCCTGGAGCTTGCAGACATAAACCCTCTCACAGCAGACAGGGCTGGGCCTCTCTCGCACTGCCTCAGGGGTATGGAGAGTGCAGAGCCAGCCTCTCCACGAGCAACCATCCCACCTCATGAACTCACATGCCAGAGTTAAACCAACAACCCAGGAAGAGAAGCAGCCAGGACATATGCCCCTTGGAGAAGAACCATCTCAGGAGACTAAAGGAACCCCTGGGCCACCAAGGACTGTGGAACCTTCTGGGTCAGAAAAAGAAGAAAAGAACCTCCTGCCAGGAAAAGGAAGAGGAAGGAGGGAAAGGACGGCAGGCTGAGGACGCCTGCAGTGTGGGCAGTCAACTCTCCATTCTCCAAGTTCATCCAAAGCTAGAATGGCAATGCGCCCAAACTTTTTTTTTTTTTTTTTTTGCTTTGGACTGATCTTTTTCTCTCCAAGCACCAATTTTTGTGATTGTATTGAATCTGCATATCTTGAGTCTGTTCAGCTGGGTGGTGGGGAATGATCCAAAGGAAGGAAATTGGGAGTCAGGGAGAAGCCAGTCTGGCTGGGGCTGCGGATGGAGCCTGTAGGTGGCAAAAAAAAAAGTCCTCTAGAGGACACAGGCCTGGCAGAGCAGCCCCTGGAGGGAGTTGTGTGGTTTCCTGGCAGGAGGGGTAGCTGGAGCCCCCTCCAACCGGGGACAAGAGATACTGAAATGGTTCTTCCCTGGGTGGCGTCTAGCTGGTGGTTGGCTCTCAGTACTTGGTCCGGCGGGAGGTGGTGGTGGACACGAAGCGGACACTGGAGCCGCGGCTGCTGCGGCCACCGCTGCAGCTGCTGAAGCCGCCCTCGGTGGGCAGCGGACAGGGGACGCTGGAGGCACAAGCTTCACCGGCAAGCCCCGAGCCTCCCCGAGAGCCCACGCTCAGAAGGTCTCCACAGCCCGCATTGACCCGGGCACTGCCCAGGCTGGAGCCGCAGGCTCCCCCAGAACGGATGCTGCTGCTGGAGAAGGTGACTCCGCCACGGGAGAGGGTGGAGCTGGTGACCAGGGGCTCAGGCCCACACACCACACCGCCTCGGGAGCTGCTCACGGCTGCGGGAGGGAGAGACCATCAGCAAGGTTGCCATATCCTCCATGTTCCCCACTAGAGGGTGGGAGGGCAGGTCTGGTGGCATCAGGGAAGTGGCCTGGGTCTAAGTGGTTCCTATTGGCAGTCAATACCCACTTTCCCGTGTCTTATCTGGGTGGCTCAAGGGCTGTGACTCCACTAAAGTCAAACATTCAGATTAAAATGGAAGAATTCAGCCAATTCTCCAGATACTTGCATATAGCTATAGGTTGACTGTCGTATATATGTAGCCAAAGTTGGCCTGTGCTGTGTTGAGGGGTTAGTGAGCTGCATTATCCAGACAGCTGGAGCAATGGCTCTCGTAAAACCCTGGGGCTTCTCTTCCAATTACATCCTGCACCTTGGTGGTCCCTACATTACCCCTCCAAGAGTCACTTGCCAGCTCTCTTCAGATCGACCCACTGATGGCCCTGCTCTGTAGCCCTCTGGTCTCCACTAGGCACACCTCTGTGCCCCAGAACCCTAATCTAAAGCTCGCTTAGATCATCTGCCATCCGTGGAGGTTCTCTCCTTACCTCTCCTCTTACCAGAATCCTTCCTGCTCTCTGTGCTCTCCACTCGAGCCTGACCTCCTTGCTGCCTCCCCCTCAGCAGGCACTGTTATCCAAACACTTGCAGCTCTGACTATCTGACCCACCCAGTTTAGCACTTGGCCCCGCCACATGTCTACGTATATTTGTACTTTTGGAATCAGAAGTCTGGGTTTGAATTCTGGTTGTGCCACTTACTATGTGACTTCGTATTTTCTCTTAGAGACAGGGAGAGTGCCGGTGCCTGTTCCTCCCCCCAGGGTTCCTGGGAGGATTAGGCTGACAGTAGATAGAACTGAACTTCCCAAGAAGATGATAATCCTAGAGAGCAAGGACTGGGGCCCACCTCCTCTGTGCTCTCACCCTGCAGTGCCCAGCACGGTCCCTGCCTGCTTTGAGTACAATCAATACTTTGTTCGGCAGCAGCAGCAAAGGGACTTCCATTCAGCCTTGTCCCATCCCCTGCCATTGTGAGGGAGGCTACTCCACGGTACAGGCCTTTCTACTCCTTTCCTGGCCTTTGCCTTGAAGGACAAGATCACTCAAAGCAAAAAGGCTGACTCTCTTCCAGAACCCTCTTCTACCAAGGAGGCCTTGCACACCTTGGTGATTGCTTACTTTGGGGAAGCAGGCTCTGGGGAGATCTCAGACCTCCGCTAAGGGGATGCTCCCAGTTTAGGGGCTCGATAGTCCCTGCTCTTACATATGTTTACTGGTCCAACACCTTCGCAGATCCTATAGAGAGAAAGAAATAAATGAGTTCACAAGTAGCGTTGTTCCCTGAAAACCTGTTTGCTCTCAGGAGAGCTTTCTTGGCTGAGTGGACCGATAGACCAGTGGTTCTCGCCCTTGGCTGTACAAGCATCCAGAGTTCTGAAAAACTACATGTTCCTAGAACCTACCCCCAAACCTCTGAATCAAAATATTTGAGGAAATGTGTTATCATCATTTTAAACAAGCTAACCAATCAAGCAAAACTCCCCATGATTCTGGTGCTGCTTGTCTACAAACTTGCATTAAGGAGGCACAAATTTAGAGGCAGCTTCTAATTCCCCTCCACCCCCACCAGGAGCAACCCAACTAATGTTTGCAGGAAAGTCCCTGTTACTTCTAGAGATTGTTTATTTTAGCAGTTCTTCACCTGGGCCCCTCCCCCTACTTAGTCCAGATGCCCAAGTCTGACCTCATTCCCTCTGGGTGCACTGAGCGCTCACCGGATCTCCTCGCCCTCCAGCAGGCGCCTGTAGGTGGCGATCTCGATGTCCAGGCCCAGCTTGGCGTTCATGAGCTCCTGGTACTCGCGCAGCTGCCGCGCCATGTCCTGCTTAGCCTGCTGCAGGGCGCCCTCCAGGTCCGCCAGCTTGCATTTGGCATCGTTGAGGGCTGCCTCACCCTGCTGCTCCGCCTCGGCCACTGCAGCCTCCAGCTTGGCCCGCTGCAAGGAGGGCAGTTTGCAGATGGACTTTGTTAGGGTCTAGGGGATCCTTAGTGGGGGTAGAAACACTGCCCACTGTTGGTGGGGACACAGCCTGGTGCCAGGCCAGGGATGGAGCCCATGGCGGTTGCTTTCCTAGGGACTGTGATTCCGTAGTTTGATGTCACCAGGGGACAGAGCATTGTTTTGCTTCAGTTTCCATTCCCACTGATTTTGTACTCCCTGATGTCTGCCACTCCAAGAACCATGAGGTCCAGAGAGTAAAGCTATTCTTTCTGCCTCACCTGCCCTTCCAAGTCAGCCCCAGGCCTTTTCTTCTATATGGAAGACTCTCCTTTCTTTCCACACTTTCCTCCTCCAGGAAGTCTTCCTAGACTAATCCCTTCATTCCTCTGTTTCTGGGTCCTTGTGGTCTCCCTCACACCATCAGACTTGGGGATCCCCAAAGCTCAGGACTCTGCCTCTTCTCCTTCTGAAGGCTTTCTCTCCTTTCCTTTGCCCACCTGAGCCTTGGCATGTTCAATCTCTGCCTTCAGCCTCTGGATCAGGCGGGTCAGGTCATTGATCTCATTCCGTGTGTTACGCAGGTTGTCACAGTGTTGGCCAGCTGTCACTCGCATTTCTTCGTACTGGTGAAGGAATAAAAGGATGTTCCAAGGGCTCAAAGGTTGGGCCAAGAACATAGCCCCAGCTGAGTTGAGGGCCCCAGATCTCCACTGGGTCCATTTCATTGTACATGAGTCTCATGCCAGGGTTGCCTACATCCTTCCCCAGCCCGCTCCTGCTCACCTTGGTCTGGTACCAGGCCTCAGCATCAGCCCGACTGCGCCTGGCGACCTCTTCATACTGGGCCTTAATTTCGGTGATGATTCCATCCAAGTCCAGGTCCCGGCTGTTGTCCATCTTCACGATGACCGATGTCTCTGAGATGTGCGACTGCAGCAACTGGATTTCCTGTGTTGGAAGATCAGCAAGACTCAGGAAGATGGACTCAGAGTCCCATCGGTGGCTGGGACACTGCCACAGGGTCCCCGGGATGTGGTGTCAGGAGCAGAAAGCATTGCTCATTTGTTCATAAAAAAGCAATGGAGCAGGCCATCCAAACCAAGAACAAAGAAAAAGACATGACCGAGAATCATTTCGAGTTGACTTCAAACCCTTCTTAAAAGCTCGGACGCATCCTTTGAACACCCTAACTTGCTTAGGTGAATATTAAAACCATGGGGGCCGAAAACTTGGTGGAGAGGAGTGAGAGCCACACTAGGGCTTAAACTTTTCTTTCGATTATTCACAAAATGGCTGTGCCATTCACGGATCATTGAAAGCTGACGATATTTCAGAACATGGTGGTCTAGGAATTTCTATATCTCATGTTCTAAATAGAACTGAGGAGCTTGGTACTAGCCTACAAGGTGAAGACTCTAGAAGGAGCTTTCTTCAGCATTTCCATCCAGAGCCAGACATTCAGTTCTGGCTGGTTCTGACCAGACCAAACAGACTACTTATGGAGCAAAAGAGAGCTGATTAGATTAAACACAATTTTTCTTACATCTCCTAGCAAATCAGTTTTCCAGAGTCTTCTGATCAAAAGATAACAAGTGACATTCTCAGACCCCAATCTTTGAATTGGCCGAACAAGGGTCAGAACATAGATCCAAAGAGTTTATTCATAGACCAGAGTCCAGCTGATGAGAAGCCTGCTTACCTTAGCTTCTCCACTTGTAGATATATCAACATACAAAGGATATAGATTTTAGAGGGGGGAGAGATGTATGACACAAAATGTTAGAAAAAATGTCAATCCAGATGAAGCCCCCAGAGCGTCCAGACCAAGCACTGATCTTGTATGACTCAGAGGGGATAAGCCCTTACCGCCATGTATAGAGTTTTCAGGAAGTCAATTTCCTGAACTAGGGTATCCACATTGGCCTCCAGATCAGATTTATTTAAGAAAGCTGCATCCACATCCTGCATAGAAGAGAAAAGGGTAAGATGCTCATTACTTGTGTACTGTTTAACTGTGGCAGAGTCTGGAGATGGGTGGGAAGATCAGACCAATCCCCTCAGAGCCAAGCCAAGGTTGAGGTGTGTGATAAAGTCATCGGATGGAAACACAGCTTAGTGACTATTATTCTTCTCCCTACTGCAACATAAAACTCCCCTGGGGTTGCTGGACCTTTCCTGAAGTTCATTTAGAGGCAAGGAGACTTTGGATAATCCAAGACTCTTAAAAGGCCACCTAAATAATTTAACCAATTCTAAATCATCTGAGGCTAAATCAGAACTTTGGAGGGAGCCTGTTGTGACCTTAGGGGTCTCACTCTGTATGAGTGGTCCCAGACTCCACTCCAGGGTCTGGGCAGTTTCCTGGTGGTAGGGTCTTGAGAACATTTGCCTATCTGGAGAAGTTTGCCTGGACCTGTTGCTCTCCCTTACCTTCTTGAGAGCCACAAACTCATTCTCAGCGCTGGCCCGGAATCCCACCTCCTCTTCGTACCTGAATGGTAAGAATTAAGAGGGTGAGTTTTCATTCTGAACTGAGAGCCAATGACTTCCAACTTCCTTGCTGCTCCATCCAGGAGCATGGCTCTCTGTTGCCACATACATGTACTCAGACATTCTGTTCTTTCTTTAAGACCTTATATGAGCCAGTGACCTTCAGTTTCTCCAAATCCCTTTTAATTTCTCAAATTGGATGTGGGGTCTGAAAAGCTGGCCCATTGCTAAGCTCTTCTGCTGGAAAAGATTTAGGGCCATTGCATTTTACCATAGAGGAAGTAGGACCCAACTTGTTGCTAAATCTGGGCACTGTTCAAAACCAGAGGGCTCCTTTTTCTGGGGCCAACTCACCCATTCCCACAGGCAGGATTAAGGAGAAACCATGCCCAATTCAGTCTCCTTTTTCCTCAGGTTCCATGGACAGCCTCCTCCAGCTCCCTTACATATCACTGCCCCCCACTTCTGTCTCCAGGCTGCATTTTTAAACCAACATTCAACCCTGTTCTTTCCAGCTGCTCTCATCTGAGCTTGGCTGCTGCTTTGGCAACCTGCTCATGCCCATCCTTGGTCAGTGCAGTCCAGATGCCACTCACTTCTTCTTGAAACCCTCAAGGACATCCTGCATTTGGTTCCTCTCAGCTTCCAGCCGGGCCCGGTCGCTGCTTGCTATATCCAGCTGCCTCCGCAGGTTGGTGATGTAGTTCTCGAAGAGGGGCTCCAAGTTGCTCTTGGCACATTTCTGCTCTTGGAGGAAGTTCCACTTGGTTTCTAGAAGTTTATTCTGCTGTTCCAGGAACCGCACCTAAATCCACAGGGGCACAGAAAAGGCAATCGAAGTGTTTGATAGAGTTGACCAGTTCTTCAAATGGCCAGACACGACTCTCAACCTTGCGGTGACGTCGTTCTCTCTTCTGTTGACTTTCATTCCTCCTCTAATTCAGTAGAACCTGGAAGAGCAGGTCTGTGACCTTCTCATGCTCAGCCAGGCTCAGCTACAAACAAAGACTTTTGAACCAAACTACTTCAGTACCATTTCTCCTTCTATCCTCTGCGAAAGGTATAAGCTGGTTCACTGGGAAGTTGGAAAGATTGACTCTGCTTGAGTTGGGGTTTGTCTATATCTAAAAACTGAAGTCAGCCATCCCTGGCAGGAAATGAGGAGCAGAGTAAAGTACACTTGGGGTGGAATATGGCATTAGGATGTGGGAATTCTCAGGTCAGTCATACCCACCATCCCAGATATTTCATCGACTGAGACTTACAGAGCTGGAGGAGAACTCAGTGATCATTTGCTCCAACCCCTTATTTTAGATGAGGAAACGGAAGCTCGTAGAAGTGAGTTTCCAAGCTCAGACACAATCAGAGCCTTCCCAACCATGAAGACATGATTGGTGGGATGTCAGTTCCACAGCATTATTCCCCTCATCATCCTGAATATCAATAACTATCTATGGTCGTTCTCCACTATTTTTCTCAATCTAGGCAACTAGGCTGAATCGGATACTCCACTGGGAAGGTATGAGTTCTTTGCTTGTTTTTTTACAAAAATTACTCAACTCCATTCTTTACTTTCCTAAGCCTGAACAGATGTGGTAATTCAGCCTCAGGAACTATGAAAACTTCAGAGAGCGTGAGGATCTCAAAAGATAAAACATTTTAAACTTCTACCAGTCAACACCTGGCTGAAGTCCTATTGTTTCTAGCCTGTTTGGGAGATATTTTTAAGTGACTAGGTGGTAGGTTTTAGTTTGTCCAGATGCCCTCAGATTTGGCTGGATGTTCCTCTTTCCTCCAGAAGACATAACCAGTATGTTAGTCTACCCCACCATGCAGTACTCCTCAGGCTTGTCCTTGCTCTGCAGCAGAGTGACTGGGAGATCATACCACAATGCCTTTGGTTCACACTTGAAGGATCTGGGTGTCAATGCCCTAGGCCTGGGCCTTTTCTTCTTAAGGAAAAGAACACCTGAATGCATTTCAGCTCTCATCATCCCAGACCCAGAGATTCAGTTGTCATAGGTACCTTGTCAATGAAGGAGGCGAATTTGTTGTTGAGTGTCTTGATTTGCTCCTTCTCATCCTTCTTCACTCTCTGAGCATTGGGGTCAATCTCCAGGTTGAGGGGGGTCAGCAGGCTCTGGTTAACAGTCACTGGTGTGATAGATGGGGTTGCTGAGACTCCAACTCCTCCAACTCTGTAGCCAAAGCCGGGGCCACCGAAGCCATAGCCAAGCCTACTGGTGGCTCCAAATCCCAGACCAACACCACTGCCGGCCCCAAACCCTAGATTAGCACCACACCCAGCACCAAAGCCAAAGGCCATCCCACTGCTAGCACCAAAGCCAGCTCCAGAGCGGACAGGGCGAGGGCACACAGCTGCTGTCCGGGGTGAGCATGATCCATAGGTGATGACGCTCCGACTACCAAAGCCACCAAGGCCCCGGAAGCTGGGCCCACTCCGGCAGGAGACAGAGCTTGCCCGGAAGCATTTTAGGTTCTGCGGGGCCGCTGCTGAGCAAGAGCTGAAGTTGCCCACATGGCGACCAGAGCTGACTTGGTAGGAGCGGCAAGACATGATGGTTTCCTGGGTGAGAGCAAAGCAGCAATTGCAGAGTGGGGCGAGCTGGAGCTGGGAGTCCCTCTGAGGCTAGTGGATCCCTCTAACTCCTTTTATGTGTGTGGGGATCTGAGGATTGGCCCCATAAAAGTGGAAAAAAGCCATTTGGAGGCATTTATGAGCTTGGGTAGTTAGCAGAAATTCTTCATGCCTGTAACCTCCTTAATAATGAGCTAATTCAGACACGCCTATTCTTAGGACCGGGGCTATAACATCAACCCATAAACATTAAAAACACATAAACACATAAACATTATGGTCTTATTTTTTCCCCACAAGTCCACTACAATTGCCATTACGGGGACATTAATTTGCCTTGGTCATAAATCCAATAGACTTTTTCACTGCAAGTTGTGGCTAACCACCAGAAAGTTAGAATGGTGACAGCTCCAGCAAGAGGCTCGCAAGTGATGCATCTATATAGACATAACCTCCTGGAGGAATGGAGGTCTGTGGAAGAGAGACAGGATTTTCAGAGCTCCAAGTAAGAAATTATATGGCCAGAATACAGTTTATTGCATCTATGTAGTTGGATTAAATAGTCCAAAACCCTTTTGCAGGGTTTTATCTATCCTCCATGATCCGGTTTGGCTGTTTACATAAGAATTCAATCTTCATTAAAGCTCATTTGGGTTAGTGTAGACACATGTCTGATTAGAGACACTCAAAGAAGATTCATTCATTCACTCAACAATTATTAGGTGCCTACTCTGTCTCAGCTAGTGTGCTTGGTACTAAGGATACAGAGATTAAAAAAAAAAAAAGACAGTCTCTATCCTCAGATGAATCTGGTGGGGAAGATGAATCTTGAGGACTTCCACCAGTCAACACTTTTGTGGCCTAATTTGAAGCCAAAGCATGACAATAATTTAGCCATGTATCTGTGTGGAAAGTTATCAACATGATTTTGAGCTCTCTTAATACACATTAGGGCTCATCTATAGCCCTGTCTGTGCAGGTTCCTTGAATTATTGATGAAACTTAGGCTAGGATAGAGACACACAAAGCAATAAGCATCAAGATAGAAAAATGAAAAGTTCTAAACAACTGGATATTGTTGTCATTGTTATTGATATTGCAGATATTTCAGGACTCAGAGACAGGTGTTTACCTTTTCTATTTGAGCAAGTGACATGATGTGCCTTACCTGTCTTGTGCCTGGGGGAACTTGTACTTAACTGGACACCAGAATTTTTTTGGATGCTTGGGATTCTACTTGGAAGAGGATGTGTGCTTTTGACTCAAGTTACGCAAGTCAGGTCTTCACTATTTCCTCCTTTCTCAATCTCTATATGTTTTATTTCCTTTTCTTGTCTTATTGTATTAGCTATGACTTCTAGGATAATGTCAAAAAGCAGTGGTGAAAGGGGACATCTTTGTCTTATCCTGATTTTAGTGGGAAAGCTTCAAGTTTCTTGTCATTTAGTTGGTGTTAGCTGTAGGTTTTTTGGTAGATATTCTTTATGAAGTTGAGGAAGTGCCCCTCTATTCCTAGTTTACTACTGTTTTCCATAGACCCAGCTGTCAAGTATATGACTAATAGGAGAAGAAGAAAAATAATAACAAGAGAATACCTCTTGTGAAGATTACCAGTGACCTCCACATTGCTAAATTCAGTGCTCTGTTCTCAGCCCTCATTTGACTTGACTTATCAGCAGTATTTGACATGGCCAATTATTCCCTTTTCCTGGAAACACTTTCTTCTTTTGGTTTCCAGATACCACACTCTCCTGATCTTCTTGCCGCATTAATGGCTGCTTCTCGTCAGTCTTCTTAGCAAGTTCCTCTTCGTATCCCCAACCTCTTGACAGCGCAGCACCCTTAGACTCATCCCTTGTGCCCTTTCTCATCTTTATCTATACTCATTCCTTTGGTGACATCACACATCCTCATGACTTTAGATACTATCTATCCATTCATGGCTGCCAAGGCATATCTTTATCCTAAACTTCCTCTCTGCACTCTACATGTTTGTTTTTATCAATGTCTCTATTTAGATATCAAAGAGGCATCTCAACTTTAATATATCCAAGACCATTCTCCCAAAGGTTCTTACTAAATACGTTCCACTTGCTAGGCTCACTATCACTACAGTAGCTCAGGTCTCAATTCTGGGAATCATCCTGTATATTCTCCATATCCTGCATTCAATCCATTGGCAAATCCTACCTTCGTAATGTATCTGAATTCTTACTACTTCTCAGCACTACCGCTGCCACCATTGGTTCAAGCCCATTACTTCTCACGGAGTCTACTGACGTGTCCTTCCAACTAGTCTTCCTGTGTCCTCCTTTGCCTCTTCAATCTTTTCTTAACACAGTCAGTGATCCTTTAAAAACATGTTCGATCATGCTATTTTTATGCTCAAACCTCTCTAATGGTTTCCCATCCTACTCAGAGTAAGTGCCATGCAGGACTCTACATAGTATGCTCTCCCTTTCACTGACCTCATCACCCTCTTTCTGTCCTACTGCTCTCCCTGCTCCAGCCACCCTGGCCTCCTGGTTGTCCATCACACAGGCAGAAAAACTCCTGTCTCACACACTTCTTTACTTGCTGTTTTCTCAGCCGGGAACTTCTTTAATCAAATACCTACATGGCCAGTTCCTCAACTCTTCCAGGTCTTTGATTATAGATACCATCTGAGGTCCTCTCCTATATGGACTTGCTTGTTCATCGACTGTCGTCCTTGGCTGGAGTAAAACTCCAGGATGCAGGCACTATTGCACATTTTGTTCTTCTCTATGCCCCCTATGTTCGGCCTTGGCTGGAATAAAGCTCCAGGAGGCAGGCACTATTGCACGTTTTGCTCTTCTCTGTGCCCCTATGCTTAGTAGAGTAGAGCACATGTTAAGCATGTTATATAGTTTTGTTGAATGAATGGCTACACCACAAAAATTTAAAGCAGGAGAAAAAATGGGAGGAGAGAGCAGGGTGTAAAAGAAAGAGGAATATAGGCATCTGGTTTTGCAGATATTTCAGAAGGAGATTCCAGGTTTCCAAATGGACAGCAATAGCCCTGGAGATGATTGTGGTGCAGAAACTCAAGTGTTTGCAGGGGAACTAACCCAGTTTGCACTCCAGCTCCAGCCTCTTGGGGTGTGAGTCTGGCGCTTGGAGGGTAAGGCAGCCCCCCTCCTCCTAGGCCGAATAGGAGGATCCAGGAGTCTGGAAGAGGACCAGTGAACTCCCGTGGACATGAAAGGGGGAGGGGAGCAGGAGGGATGGCATAAAGAGCACCAGCAAGTGTGCCGGGCCCAGGACAGAAGACTTGACACAACCCTTAGAGTTAGATGGACCTTAGGTTCAGTCCCAGTGTTGCCATCTGCCAGCAGTGTGACCTTGGACTGTGTACACCTAGCACAGGGTCATGGCAGGGTTCTGCTCTGGCAGGGGCCAGGTGATAAGGGGTGCTTGTCTGTAGAGAACTTGTGTTATGCAACAATACAACCAACTAAAAGTTGGTCAGCTTTTTATTGCCACCGTAAATTGCTAGTCAGCAAACACACTCCATCTGTTTTATATGAGTGACCTGGGGGAAATCATTTAACTTCTCTAAACTGCAGCTTCCTTATCTGTAAAATGGAATGATTCCTACTTCCCACTGCTATGAGGATTAAATGTGAAAGTGTTTGAGGTGTACACTGCGTGGTTATTGTCACCCATTTTTCCCCCCTGCTGTCTTTCTTCCCTTCTTCCCTCCCTCTTTTTTCTTCTGCACCTTTCCCTCTCTCTTACACAATCCTCCCTTCACTTCTAAGCAGTCATCCCTGTTCCTATGTAGCACTCCACCCCCTTCCCACTCCGGCAGGCATTCATTACCCCATCAGCCAGTCTTGGGGCTGTCCCGCGTCTGGGCTCAGCTTCCTCCAACCCTGACCACGCCGGGTGAGGTGGGGGTAATTGGAACCAGTCAAGCATAACCCCTATTTTGAGATGAGCTGACACCATCAGCAGTTTATAGTTCTGAGGCATTATTTCACCAGACGATGCATAACATAACCCTCCGTCATTTTTAAGGGGTAGTAGATGAAGAGAGGAGGAGGGAGGTGGCCTGAGGTTTTGCTGCTCTGACAGTTTCTTCTTATTGCTGTCAGTGGGCCTGGATGTAATCCCAAGATCTGCTGGCTGAGCTGGCCACAGCACCTCATTATGCTGCTGTAGGATGATTGCTTGCTCATGGAGATGCTATCTGTGCAGTGGAGAGGAGGGAGAACTGCTGAGGGCGGTGGTGTTTGGGGGGTTGGGGAGAGGGGCCTATCCTGATAGACTGAGCAGGGCCTGGGAACTGTGAGCACACGGTGGGGTGTGTGTGTCTGTGTGTGTGTGTGTGTGTGTGTGTGTGTGTGTGTGTGTGTGTGTGTGTGTGTGTGTGTGTGTGTGTACTGGCGCACCAGAGGGAGGGAAGGAGGGTGACAAGGAAATCCCAGGTGCTGAGAAGTCTTTGCTAAAAGCCGCCTTCTACAAAGTGTTTCCGTTTTGCCTGCGGACAAGTCTGTGCTAGAGAGAGGCCTTTGCTGGGAAGTGCTCATGCTGAGACCTGCCCTGTGGGGAGGGAGGCTCAGGAGTTCCCCAGCAGAAGGAGGGAGATGGCAGGAGAGGCTGAATGCACCCCTGCCTGGGCCTTTCACCCTTCTACCCTCTTAGACTAATGACATTTTGAGATGGATTCTAAACACCTCCTAGAAGAGATAAAGCACCCCTCTCATTTGGGCCCATCTCCGCCCTTCCACACAGTATGATTTTTTCAGGTTTAATCCAAATTCCTCACATTGCTCACTCAGCTTCATCTGTCCAGGGTGGAAATATTGCATCTCGTAGGCATAAGGTCAGTTTGCTTCAATAAACCTTTACTGGGTGCTGATGTGTGCCCAGCATTGCATTTAGGTGCTGAGATGGCTGGCAACCAGCTCTCTTCCTTCCATCAGACTCAGCAGGCCTAAGTTTCTCCTCCTCCGTTTACAGTGCCATTTCTGAAACCATTTTCCCCGATCCAGTCCCCGGCAGAAGGTGGCGGTGGTGAATGCACTGCAGCCACTAATGCGACTAGGATGAGGAAAGGACCTTGGAGAGACAAGTGTCTTTGGGGGCAGAGGCAGCCGGCACCTGAGGGAGGGGGCGGCGGGGCAAGGAAGAGCCTTGTGGGGAGAAGAGAGGGCTCCGGCGAGAGACATTCTAGAGAGACAGACACAGACACAGACACAAGGAGCTCCATTCTGGGCCTGCCCGCCTGCCCCAGGCCTCTTTGGGTAGTTTCCCACCAGTCCTCATGGCGCGTGCTCTACAAGGGACTGATCTGGAGTCCTGAGGAGAGTAGACTGCAGTGAGCCTCTGGCTTCACGAAGGCAGGTCTCCCTTCCTCCCTGGGGGCCGGGCTCCAAGGCCTGATCCTCTCTCCACCCCAGCACTCTGTGAGGCTAGCCCAGGGAGACGCTCAGGAGGTATTTGGCCGAGTGAATAGAATGTGAGTCGCTGGGTAACCACCAGGAGGCACTTTTGTCCTACCTGCCTTGAGTTATCTCCTCCCTGGGGAAGAAGAAAGAAGGGGACACTGCTCACATTAGTAAGGGGGATCCCCTGGTAGAAGTTCCGGGGGAGGCATGCCCAGGCTTCTGAGCTGGGATGACCCCACTACTGGGTTGAGTCGTGCCTAGTGGATGGTTCCAGACAGCCTCCTCTTCCCAGGGGCCTGCGCACACTTGAGTGAGAAGCCCCAAAGGGATGGTCACCAAGCCCAAGCCCACTTCACAGTGAGGGCGGGGGAATCTGTTCTCTCTCTCTTCTTTTATTTTAATGGGGTGTTTCCTGGGCCTCAAGCACTCATCTATGGGATAGAGGTGTGTGGTCTCTTGGAATTTCTCAGACCAGAGAGTCCCTGTAGTTTTGAGAGCTTTGAGTTATTAATCAGCAAGGAGCTTAGCTGGCTCCAGAGTGACAGGACTTCAACTGGGAACTGAGGCTGTGTGGCTCCATTGTTCTGTCCCCTCCTTTTCCGTGTGTGGATGTGCATCTCTGAATCACAGACTCTCTGGCTCATAGCTGCTGATGCCTCATCCTGGAACACCCTCTGTGCCTCCCTCCCCTGAGTTCTGCTGTCCCTCAGGATCCAGCTTGCCTGCCCCTCCTCCTGGGGACCTTCCTGAGGTCTATGAGGAGGGTGGGACTCCCTTCGCGACAGTGTTCACATCTGTAATGGCCTGTTCCAGTGGTGTATTCCCTGCTAGTCATTATTGAGATATATTTCACATACTATATCATTCACTCATTTAAAATGTATAACTCAGTGATTTTAGTATTTTCCTATATATGTGGAACCATCATAACAGTCAATTTTAGAACATTTTCGCCACCTCATAAAGAAAACTTTAGCTCTCACATACACCCCCAACCCCATCTTCTCCTCCCTCCAGACCTAAGCAACCACTAATCGTCTTTCTGTTGCTATAGATTTCTATATTCGGGACTTTCATATGAAGGAAATCATACACTATGTGGTCTTTGTATCTGACTTCTTTTACCTACCACAAAGTCTTCGAGGTTCATCGATGTTGCAGCATGTATCAGTAATTCATTCCTTTTGATGACTGAATAACATTCCATGGTATGGATATGCCACATTTTGATTATTCATTTGTTTGTTGATGGATATTTGAGTTGTTTCCACTTATTGTCTTGTGAATAGTACTGCTATGAACATCCACGTACACGTTTTTGTGTGGACATGTATTTTTATTTTCCCTGAGTAATGTTGCAGCATGTATCAGTAATTCATTCCTTTTGATGACTGAATAACATTCCATGGTATGGATATGCCACATTTTGATTATTCATTTGTTTGTTGATGGATATTTGAGTTGTTTCCACTTATTGTCTTGTGAATAGTACTGCTATGAACATCCACGTACACGTTTTTGTGTGGACATGTATTTTTATTTTCCCTGTATTTTATTATACCTAGGAGGAGAATTGCTGAGTCACATGGTTACTCTGTGTTTAACATTTGAGTACCTGTAGACTGTTTTTCAAAGTGTCTGCGCCAGTTTACAGCTCCTATAATGGGCTCTAGGTACTGTGTCTACTGTGCCTACTGGGTAAGTCGGCCCTGGCTGGGGCTTCCTTGTTCACCACCATGTCACTAGCCCCTGGGTGTCCTGATGCATAGCAGGTCCTTGATAAATACATATTGAGTGAACGAATGAATGAATGAATGGGTTCTTTCGAATTTGCTGCCCACAATTCCGTAACCCTAGACTTCCGTTTAGACTCTGTCCTTACAATCTTCTCCGTGAATCTTTCTCTAACTCCTTTGTGGGCAAAATCGTGAGCTGGTTTTTCTCAGTCCTCCCATACTCCCTCGCTCTCATTAATGACTCTTCTGTGAGGTCAAGAGTTCCTCCAGGGCTCAGAGGGTGTCTTAGTCACCTCTGCATCATCAGCTTCTCATGCAGGGCTTGACGTAGAGTAGATGCTCTGTGTGAGGCTGTGGTGGAAGGGGAGCTGCACCCCAGTGCTCAGGAGAGGGGATCACAAGGAGGAGTTTGTGGTGGGGGAGTTGTTTCAAGGGATCAGTGAGGCAACAGGGAGGGTATCAAGGCCCCACAGAGGGTGGAACTGCTGCTATCAAGTCTCATCTGCAGATCTTGGGGCTTCTAAGAAGAAGAGACTAGAGGTTTCCCCTCCCTGGCTAAGCTGCCATCCATCTTCACTGCTTTCCCCAGGTTGCGGATGTCCTGCAGTGAGACTGGGTCCAGGATGGGGAGGCAGAGCTCAGGGCTTGGATGCTAATACATGATAGGGAACCCCAAGAACTTTCTCTAGGCTATGTGCACGGGACTGCATGATGAGAAGGCTTATGTGCAATAGGCATGTGGTTTTTAACGTGACAAGTGACTCGTAAACTATTGGGGTGTGATGTGTAGTTTTTAAGTGCAGTTTGACTGGATCCACGTTGATTTCACACACCACTTACAAATCATTCATACGTAGTTTTCCCATTTGTGTAATAACCTTTATTTCCACTCCCAGGCCCCTCAGCCTCCAGCCCCCAAAGGCTGCTCACAAGAGATTCCTCCTCTCTTACCCCACAGAGCAGGTTGAATAATCCTGATTCCTGTAGCCTATGACCAGTAAGTTTATTGGGAACAGACAAGCCCAGAGACTCTTGGCACAGATAGGATCCCTGGGAGGACAGGGCTTCTGCAGATGCAGCCGTAGGGGTGGGGTCTGGGGGGGTTGTGGATGGGACCAGCCTAGCACCTTTCCCTCCCTCCCAAACTCTGAACCAGAGCCTTTAAGTCTGCTGAGGTAACCCCACATCACTGTGGCCAGAAAAACAGTTTCATATCAGACCCAAAGCAAGAAGAAGTAGAGAGAGGGAGCAGGAATTGCATAGCTATGTACAGAAGGTGGGGTTGGGGCTTGAGTCCATTGAGCAAATAATGTCAGGTCTTGATTGTCCCTCTGTCCAGATTATTCCATGTCCCCTTGCCTTTGTTCTAGGCGTGTTTCTATCTTCAGTTGGCCAATATGATCTCAGGAAAAGGACATATTTTCATAGTGTGAGTTCAACACCTCTGAGCAGGTAAATCTACCGCCACCTGTTTATTCTGTGTGCTAACTGAGAGGACCATGAACAGGTCCTAAGTGATCCTGAAATCCTGGCCTGTGGCTTCAGAATTCAGAATGGGGTTTTGGAATGTCTCCTTTGGACATTTGTAATAGTGAATGTTTTAGGTGGATGTTAAAAGAAATTCCCTTTTCTTAAGTGCATGAGAATTAGAGGTAAGGGAGATGGGGAACCTCCAGGGGTCAGGGGAGGCTAACTTGGTGGGGAAACTTCTGTGAGATAATCCACAAAGCAGAACATCAGTGATGTGCCCATTTGGGCTTCTCATCTGGAAGAGAAGTGGTTGGTGGCTGTTGTCATTCTCTTGGCCACTCTAGGGCCTAACTGTCGGCAGTCCAGGGGAAACAGGCAATGCATTCTCTTTCTTTGCATACTACTCCCACCCCCAGTGCCTAGCTCAGAGTCTGCATACAGCTAAGTGAATAGTGACTAGAAGATATGGATGAACCAGAGGAACGGCTTCCAGTGAAAACCCAAAGGAAACCTAAGGTCAGTACAGGAAGATGGGGTTTTGGAATCTCCTGGGCTTCTGCCCTGGTAGGCTGAGCAACATCCAGGCGGGGGGCTGGTGTACTGTCCCCTGGGCTTCCAGCCTCTAGGGTGGTGCTAACACTTGTGGCAGGAGGAGCCACCCCCAGCCCCTAGCTTCATGCTGGAGCTCTGCCCGCTCCGGAAGCCCAGGAGCCCCTGGGGCTCACAGGGGACGTAGAGTTCACTGGTGCCCACAACACTGCAGCCCCCACTGCTCTTGAGGACAGTGGTGCCCCCTGGGCAATACTCGGTCCTCAGCATGGGCGTGCTGACCACACATGGCTCGTACAAGACAGCACCTTTCGAGCTGCTCACAGCTGTGGGAACAAGAAGGGATGCTCAGGGCCCTGTGTGGCTCTAAGGGCATTGTCCTGAACTGTCTCAGCCAGGCTGTGCCCCCTACCTGCAGCCACTCGCCTCTAAGGGCCCCCTGCCCCAATTACTAACTTCCATGTCTCCCACCCTAGCCACAAAGTGCTTACTGGGTACCCACGTGCCACACTTCTTTGCCTAGAGCCTTGGCTTCTGCTTCACCCTTTCTCAGTGTCTACTTGTGTCTACTCAGTGTCTACTTCAAATCCACTTTCTCCAGAAAAGCTTCCCCTTGTCAGTGTGGTTCATTGCAGTTTCTGGGCCCTGAAGCACTGGAACCACCATGCATATCTGCTCCTCATTCTCACTCCCAAAGACTTGGGTAGCCCTGCAGGAGACTTCTCCCTCTGACCAGGAGCTCTCGGCGGACAGAAGTCCTCCTTTGCGGTGGGGAAGCATGCTGAGGTCTGGGCAGGGGTGCTGTGGCCTATGTTGGGTTCATCAGCCCCCACAACCCCAGAGCCCTTGGGGAGTGCTCATTACTCACAGATATTCACCGGCCCGATGCCTTCGCACAGCCTGGGGTGAGAGGAAAAAGAAGACATGAAGTAACTGCATCAAAGAGAACGAGTCTGATTGGTGTGCAACACCCCCTTTCTTCTGCCTGCACCACGGGTCTTGTTCATGAGGAGGGTCTGCAACTATATGCTGTTCTGGATTTTCCACGACTGCGAGATGAGCAGGGGCAGCAGCAGCAACCAGAGGGCAGGAGAACATACACACTTGGCGCCCATGCTTGACTAACCTGTGCTCCTCGCCCTCCAGCAGGCGCCTGTAGGTGGCGATCTCGATGTCCAGGCCCAGCTTGGAGTTCATCACTTCCTGGTACTCCTTGAGCAGGCAGGCCATGTCCTGCTTGGCCTTCTGCAGGGCCTCCTCCAGCCCCGCCAGCTTGCACTTGGCATCGTTGAGGGCTGCCTCACCCTGCTGCTCCGCCTGGGTCACTGCAGCCTCTAGTTTGCAGCGCTGGGGGAGAGGGCACAGAAGGCATTATGGGGGGCCCCTGGAGCCTTAGGTTGACTGTCAGAACAACAGAGAAAACCTGGTCATTGTGAGGTAATAGAAAACACATTTATATATATCGGTCTCTGCCTCTTGTTTCTGGCATAGAGCTCCTAAGACCCTTGTAATTTTCTAAGTGATAAGAGCACTAGAAGCATCTTTGGTTCTAATATTTGATCTTTGACCCCAGTTCCTGACACAGATTTCCTAAATCCCCTGGAATTTCCTTGGTGATAGCAATGTCTTTTGTTCTCATGAGGTGACTCTGAGTGGGCTCCTGGATAACTCGGATGGGGACTGGTCACCAGAAAGACCAAGCCATGATTAGAAGCTTGGGATTTTCAGCCCTGCACCCTATACTCCAGGGAGGGGACATGGGCTGGAATGGAGTTAATGATTAATCATGCCCATGTGAGGAAGCCTCTGTCAAATCCCAACAGGGTTTGGAGAGCTTCCAGGTGGGTGAACGTGCGTGGATGTTGACTGGTGCGCCCAGAAGGCACTGAAGTTTGGCGCCCCTCTGCCCATGCCTTGCCTTACTTATTGCTCCCATCTGATGTTCATCTGTATCCTTTATCATATCCTTTTATAACAAGCTGGTGAACAGTAAGTAAACTGTTTTCCCGAGTTCTATGAGCCGCTCTAGCAAATTAATCGAACCCAAGGAGGGGGTTCTAATTTGCAGCAGATTGGTCAGAAGCTCAGGTGACAGCCTTGACTTGTGATTGGCATCTGAAGTGGGGCAGTCTTGTGGAACAGCCCTTAACCTGTGGGATCTGATGCTATTCCCAACTGGTGCCGCAGAATTGATTGGTGTGGGAAAAACCCGTATATCTGGTGTCAGAAGTGTGGTGAGTATGGTAGTAGTGTCAGAGTAAAAGAGAGACACCGGGTGAAGAGTCAGATTTTCCTACAGTCTTGGTTACATGGCAGATTCAAATCTGCTATGGGTTTCATCCTAGGATGGTGACCTCTAGTTCATCTGGGGGACTGGGACCAGTTCTCCTGTCTACAAAACCTCAAGAAGACCTGAGAGTTTCTCTTAGAAATTTCTTCAGAGCTAATAGATTTTAAGTGTCTGACTAGTCTTCACTAACCTAGGAGAACAAAATGTATCTGATTTTACGAACTCTGCAGAGTCACTTTGAATTTCAAGATCATAGAATTATAGTCTTTGGCTTAAAAGAGACCATGGAGACCATCTTTTCTATGCTCCCATCTACTGATCTACTTGCTATTTCATTTTTGACGGTAAGTCGCTTGCTTCTGGGAGACCTTGCCATTTCCTGAGGTTGCTCCTCCTGTGGCTGGTCAGCTCTTTTATAGAAAGGTCTTCACCCTCTTAATCGAGGCAGCATAAGTTTACTCCCTCTTCAACAGCACTTCCGGGGAGGGTGGACCCACCCCGCATGATCAGGCAGTGGGTCATCCTGGAATGGGCCCTCATAACAAGGTCTTTCTGGCCTCACCTGGGCTTTGACACTCTCAATTTCTTGCTGCAGCCGCTGGATCAACTTGTTCATTTCCAGGATCTCGTTCTTGCGGTTGCGGAGGTTGTCACAGTGGTTCCCGGCAGTCAGCCGCAGCTCTTCATACTGTGGGGACCTAGAGGTCAGAACTATGACACTCGCCACTGTGGCACCTTCTAACCTCCTTTCTCACTGTCTCGCATCTCTCCTCCCGCAACTTCCTCACTCAGACACTCTCTAGATTCTTACACTTTTCTGCTCCCTATCCCCTTTCCATTTCTAGTTAATTTTGTGGTCTTTTTCTAGGATGCTCCTAAGTCCCTTCTCACCTCCCAATCCTGAACAGTGAGGCTCATTAAATTCTTCTCCAAGCTCCTCTCTCTGTTTAGCTGTTCAGTGTTTTGTCCTTTTCTCTCTCCGCTAGAGCCTGCGTATTACCTGAGGGCTCTGTCCCTTTTAGATGTCCTTGGACCTCAGAAGGGGTTTCCCTGTTCAGCCTGGGATGACTAATAGACCAAGGACTAAAGACAGACCATGTCTACCCCCAGGGTGACTAAGTTTGTATATTTCCTCCAAAAACGATTGAAAAAGAAATGCAATGTCTCTTCATATCTTGGCTTAACACTTTTTCTTTTTCTTTTTTTTTTAACGTTTGCAACTCTGAAGCCAGTTTCTGTAGAGTGTGTTATGAAGTACATTTATAGATTTTTGAAAATTAGCCAACTTTAGATTTTCGGCACATAATGGATGGGAACGTTTTGCATAGAAAATGCAAAACAAGAGATAAGCACAAATACCTCTCTTCGGCCCTTTGGTTATTTGCTTATTGTGTGAAAGCCTATAGTTGCCTAATCGATATCCACTCTTCTCTTCTGCAAACAGAATTCTGCTTTTGTTTGGCATGGCAATGAGCCCAAATAAGAGAATATTGCTCAGCCTTCTCATTAGTGAGATCTATGGCCCTTGCTGGTAGGGTTTCCAGGAAAGCTTTTCGAAGTAGGCAACTGGCATGTTTGGCATGTTTCTTTTGCCTTCTGTTCTTCTTCCTGCCTGGAATGAGTATGTGAAATTGGTGTTATGGCAGCCATCTTGAGACATGAAGCAACCATGAGGATTAAAACAAAACAAAAGATGGAGAGTAGAAAGCTAGAAGGTGCCTATGTCCCTGATGGTGACATAGAACCTTGCATGGCAGTCTATTTCTGAACTTCAAATTACTTGAGAAAAAGTGAAAACTGAATTTGTTTTAATTATTATTATTATTTTTTTAAATTTCTGATCCTCACAGCTAAATACAATCCTTAAATAACAGAGTTTTCTTTCTGGTTCTGATTTAGGAGGATGGGTAACTGATGTTGTTTTTCCTGTGCCCACCTGACTAATGGGTGGCCCAGGAGGACAACAGGAGGAGGGGCCAGCTGTGGCGAAACCTGTTGAGGATGGGCTACAGTCTGTGTCACTAAGAACTGACTTCAGGCCAGGGTTTTGATATCTTTGGTCACCACAGATCTCTAGACAATGGGCACAGCATCATTTGGAGGAACTCCCTGGGCACTGGTACCTACAGTATTCAGAAAAAAGTCCAAAGTACTCATCTCAGCTCTGCACATCTGCTGTGATCTGACCCCATGCTACCTTTCCAGCCCCATCTCCTTCATGGCACTCCATACTGCGCGCCTCACTTTCATGTTTCTGCATCCTGGCTCCTGATGCCCCTCAGCTAGACACACCTTTCCTCCATGCTCTGCTTATTGATATTGTACTTGGCCTTCAAGCTCCAGATCAAATGCCAGTGCCTCTGCCTTTGCAGACACATTTGTTCCTGAAGTCATCACACTCCCTTAGCCTGATGCTCCACCTTAGCAATCGCTTCATGCTACCTTGTTTTCCTGTTTAGTTGGTTACCCATTTCTCACTCTGTGGACTGTAATCTCTTTGAGCACAGGGATGGTCTGACTCTTAGTATCCTTGTGGTGCCGCACACCTCAGAGTAAGGCCATCCTTTCCTGGCTGCCTTTTTTAAAACCATATTCCCACAACGCTCCCTGTGCTTTACCTTGACTTATTTTCTCCGTAGCATGCATCCCCATCTAACATACCTGTACTTATTTGTCTCGTTTGTTGTCCGTCCCTCCCCTGCCCCTGCCTCTAGAATGAAAGCGACACAAGGGCAGGGATTGCTGTCTGTTGTTCTCTGCTGGAATCTAGCACCTAGAATGGGGCTTGGCACATGATGGATGCTCAAGAAACAGTTGTTGAATAAATGAACAAATGGTGCCTTTCACAGATAAAGCAGATGAGACTGAGATGATAATATTGATTAAATCAAATTGCCCTCCCAGCAAGCCCCTAATTACCTAAGTCTGGAGCTACCTTAATCACCCTTTTTCTCCACCATTAGTAACCATTCCATGCCATTAGTGTCCTCGGATGCCTTGAAGCCCAGAGCCCTCTTTTCCATCATTGCCAATTAGTATTCCTTGAATTCATTTCCAGGGAGGCTGTGGGTAAATAGAGCTGGGACACCTTGGCACCCTGATCTCTCTGTGAAGTCCATTCCCTCCAGTTCCTCTAGCACTTGGCCTGGGGCCTGGCAGAAACAACAGGGGCTGGAGTTTATGGGGTTCCCTGTTTCTGTGATGTGGCATGACCCTCTCATTATCTTTTACCCATTTTCTGGGTGAGAGTGGGTCTGGGGACCCCATTCCCCACCCAGGCCTCACCCGGCACTGGTACCAGGCCTCTGCTTCAGCTTTGCTGCGGCTGGCGATTTCATCATACTGGGCCTTGATTTCAGCAATGATGCCATCCACGTCCAGTGCCCGGCTGTTATCCATCTTCACTATAATGGAGGTCTCTGAGATCTGAGACTGGAGCAGGCAGATCTCCTGGGGGTAGGGTGAGGATGGGTGAGATTTTTGAGGATAAAGCAGGAGAACCTGCTCTGACCTTCCCATAACAGCTTTGCACAGGACTTTGCCATAGCTGTCCTGGGCCTTCAATCACCAACCTGCTCCCCATCTCCCACCCTCTAGTTATACAGAGATCCAAGAGCCAAGATCTGAATGATCTGAATTCTGGGGGGTCTCACTACCTGAGAACCAGCTATCTCATACTGATTTCTTCACATGCTCACTTTTTAATCTGCTTGCCCTGAAACATACAACTGGGCCAGAGCTTTGCCACCCCATTGTCTTCACAGAACTGGCCCCTGCTCTGCCACCTGTGGGTAGCATGGCTGCAGGTACCTCCTCATACAGGCCTTTCAGGAAGTCGATCTCCTGGACCAGAGCCTCCACGTTTGTCTCCAGGTCAGCCTTCATCAAGAAGGCTGTGTCCACATCCTGCAATCAGAGAGGTGACAAACATAACCCAGGGCTGGGGGAACATGGGAGGGCCACCCCTTCTGCCGGCTGGACCAGTCCTAGCAAGTGGGTGGCAGATGGCAGATGTGGGATCAATTTTTTCCTCATTTAAGCCCATGTGAAAGTGAGGGGTCACAAAGCCAAGGATGGAGAGAGGGGTCCCCAGCGCTAGGATCCCATGCCTGGACCTGACACCCTGTTGGGGAAGGATCAGAAGAGAACAGGATTTAAAGGAGCCTTGAATGCAGTTTCTCAGAGCTCAACGTGTGGGGCTCAGGCCAGAAAACACCTAGCTATCTGTCTGGGGAACCATGGCAATGGTTTTCACCTTTTGGGGTTTGAGTCAGAGTTTTTGTTTTGCCTTTGATTTGGCTTTACCACATTTCCAGCTTCTTGGGCGGGTGTAGACACAACCCCAACAAGCTTTACCCACATGGGTTTGGAGATAGAGGCCAGATCAATCACTGCCTTAGGAAGGGGTGTAGGACACTGGCCCGCCTCTTTCCCAGGATGACCAGGGCTGGCACTGTGGTCTGAGGGGTAAGAGACCCTTTTGTAGGTGGTTGTGCTGCAGACACGTTTGGATTTAGTGCAGGGCCCGAGTGTCCCAAGGCCAGCTGGGCCAGCTCAGGGGGCTTCCTCCCTCCCCGTGCCACCCTCTCTCACCTTCTTCAAGGTAACAAACTCGTTCTCCGCACAGGGCCTCAGGGACAACTCCTCTTCATACCTGGTGGAATGGGTGGGGAAAAAATGTTTCCGGCACCTTGTGGGGTGTGGAAGGAGCCTTGGTATCAGGCCTGAGGGAGGGGACCTTTCGGGGGCAAATCTGCCTCTCACTGACTGGATGCCCTAAGGAGTCATCAGGTTCAGCCCCTGTCTCTGGACACCTCCAGTTCCTCTAGCCAGTCAAGATAGGTGATTATTAGCACAGCCTCTCATTGGCCACTTTGCCAGTTTACCCCGCTCTCCACTCCCCACTAGCCTGCTCCTGTGATGAATCATCCTCTGGGAAGTCCTTCTTAAGGCTACCTTCATTCTGTCTTGCTGTTAAGAAAGCCTACTTCATCTAGTCATTTCCCCTGGGAAGGGGGCAAAAAACTGGCTGCCTATTGCTGGCACAGCTGTCTTTTCTGAGTTGTTCTGAGAGTTGGCTACAATCGCTGAAATCCCAGCTGACCCCAAGCCCTCCTCACCAGGAGAGTCTTAAGCCTGGCCCCTACCTGCAGCTCGGTTGCAGAGGTAGCAATTACCCACTTTACCAGACCCATAGACACAGTCCAGACACTGCCTATTTCCTCTAGGCTCCATGCTCACCCACTCACTACCCCCTAAGGCAACAGAATCAGGGTCAGGGGATTCATCTGGCCAGAATGACTCAGTTTGAAGAGCAACATCAATCCATTAAAAGCCTCACTGTACTTCCTGACTCCTACCCTTCCTTTTCCCAGCAGAACTCTGCCACAGCATGAGCAGTGGATGCTGGAGCCTACAGCCTGGGTTCAAATCCCGGCTCATCATGTGCTAGTGATGTGACTTTGAGTAATAGATTTGGCCTTTCTGTGCCTCAGTTTCATGATCTGTAGAATGAGGATAACACTAGTCCTGCCTCATGGGGCTGTTGTGAGTTAACATAGCACATGAGTTAATATCTGCGAAGGTCTAGGCCTGGCATAGGGTACATACTGTGTAAGTGTTGGCTATTATTGTTAAAATACCATTCAATCACATTCTTCTCCCATTGTCCCACTTTTAAAGTCCAAAGTCTTCATCTTGAACTGCAAGCCATGTCTCCTGACCATCTTGTGTCTTACCCCTCAAAAAGGCATTGCTCCTGCTGAGACGGCTGGCCTTCGCCCCTCCCACAGCCTCATGACATCTCACCTGTCACAGTCCGCTTGAGTCCTTCGCTCTCACTTGGCATACTCTGGCCCTTCCTTGTCACCTATTCCTGGCCCTTCTCCTTTTCCAGGGTCTACTTTGGACTCTTCTGTTATAAGAACCAACTGGAATGAAGCATATCCTTCAAGGCCCGGAACAAATGGCATCTCCCCCAGGAAGCCTTTCTTGGCCCCTTCGGCTCTCTCACTCTCTTGGGATTCTTCTTCTCTTCTGCTTTGTGCTACCTTGTAGCTGTTGGTCTGTGCATCTCAAGGGAAGGAGTCAGTCTTTTCCATAACCACAGGTAGGCATGTGGTTGACACCCGCAGCATGAGTGTTCCCCACGTGGCTCCACTCCACTGACTCGCATTTTTTATGAATGGTTGCTCTCAGCACATTCACACTGTTTCTTGTCGATTAAAATGTGTCTCTCCTAACCCTCCCCCACCAAAATGTGCTTCTATGGGATCCTGGGCCCAGAGAGACCCACCTAGGATCATGAGTCAATTTATCTGGGCCTTGGCTTCTTGTAAGCACTGGATCTACTAGCCTTCAAGCTCTTCATTAACATATGCTTATCAACTACATTCTGCCACCTGAGTCAGGCCTGAGCTGCAGGTCTAGCAGCCTACAGAACCTTCGCCACAAAGAACGAAGAGGACAGTCAAGGGAGACAGAGGACCTGATAGTGAGAGGAGGGGTGATGACTTGCAGCTGTGACCGGAGGATTAGAGAAGCTGGAAGTCATGGAGTGAGAGAAAATATAGGATATATCAGCCTGGATATGGTTCGAAGAGATGCTGAGAGAGGGCTTATCAGAAGAAGGAACAGGGAGAGAAAAGGCTCAGAGAAAAGAGGGTTTGGGGATCCGTTTGGGGAATAAGAAGTAATTTAAGAAATGCAAAGGATTGGTGGAAGATAGGGCAGAACAGAGCATAGCCCCGGAATGCCAGAAATGGCATCGGAAAAGTTTTGTTTTACATCGAGGGGGAGAATGCGGGCCTTCCTTAGGCAGGGAGGTAAGAAGGGAGATGAAGACACATACACACTTTCAGAGTTTTTACCGTGTGCCAAATGGACAGTATCCTAGATGCTCTGCCTATGTTATCCACTCTAATTGTTCTACCATCGAATGAACTAAGTTTTAGCTTCCCTAAAACTTTTTATAGATGGGGAGACTGAGACCCAGATTGTTTACACAGCTTACCCTGGGTCCCCTGGTGGGGTGAAAGGGGAACAGACTCACTTTTTCTTGTATCCCTCCAGCGTGTCCTGGAGGCTGCAGAGCTCCGACTCTAGCCTGGCCCGGTCCCCAGCTACGCAGTCCAACTGCCTCCGGAGGGTGCAGATGTATGCCTCGAAGATGGGCTCTATGTTGCTCAGGCAGCACCTCTGCTGCTGCATGAAGTTCCATTTGGTCTCCAGTAGCTTATTCTTCTGCTCCAGGAACCGAACCTGCAGCCAAGAGCAGGATATTACTGGGCAGCTGGGACCCTGGGGACTATGCCTTGAAGAGAGTAAATGGTGGTGGGGGCAGCGGAATCAGTTTCTGCTCTCTCTCCTGACACACTGCTGCCGATACACTAGAATTTACAGGTTAAGTTCTCTGCATAGACTGGTACCTGAGGTTATGTCTCTGTGGGTTTCCCCTGTCTGGGGGAGCTTATAGGACCCACTTTACACTCAGGGGTTGCCATAAGGCTTGGGGCAGGTCCTCCTTCCAGCCCTGCCTGCCTGCCTCCCACCAGCTTTGTAACCTTGGCCGGGCCAGCCCATCCCTTTAAGCCTTGCTTTCTTTCCTAAAGCTCCTACTTGGAGTTGTGCATGGGAAGCACTTTGCAGATCAGCATGCTAGAGTAAGCAGGTGACATTATACCCAGGAGGAGTTGGGCTTTCTTCAATTACAGCCTGGGGACACTCAGGGGAGACGGGCAGATCAAAAGCTCTATCCCAGGACTTTAAGCTCTTTTCATGGACTCTGTTCCATCTTGTATGGCTATGTGCAAAAACGTCCCTGTCACAGTAATGAGGAGAGCTACTGGCCCACCTCCTCCATTTTTGTGGCTTAGAAACCAAGATTAAGAGAAGCTGAGTGAGTCACTGGCAGAGGGAACACGGTCTCCATTCCTCACCCTGGGATTTTCTGTATTGTGCATTGGTGTGATATTGCTGACAGCCAGGGCCCACATTGTTAAAATGAGTTTGCAACCAGAGTTTAATGAGCTTTCAAAACTACACTACAAGTGTAACAATTCCCATTTACTAAAACAATTTCCTTTTTGGAGCACTTCTGCATGTATTACCTCCTTTCATCTTCCCACCATCATCTCCTCCTTCCCCTCCAGGCAGCAGGGGCCCTGAAGCTGAGAGGTGAGAGGTTTACACAAGGCCTCGAGGTAACAGTCAGGAGTGGGACCAATACCAGGGTCCAGGTTTCCTTAAAATCTGGCCCAAGACTCTTTGCCCTAAATCTTGGGATCACCAGAAACACTGACTCAGCCCTTGGCATGTATTCTAACCCCAAGAAACTTTCTGGGGTGTGAGGACAGGCCCAGAGGCAGCTGAGGGTGACTAGCCAGTTCAGCACCTTCCAAAGGCAGCATGTCC